TATTTTTAACAGAAATATGAATGACGGCCAGGCAACCTCTATCTTCAGGATCACAATTTTGTGCTAGGTGTATGTAAATTTTTTGTTAGAAAAAGAAGAAAGTATTTCAGTAGAAGCTCTCTCTAAAAGACACCTAGTTGTAGAGCAACCCTCCTTTAGGGAGAGGTGTCCTCTTATCAGAGAGTTTCTAACTTTTAAAAATGTTAATTTTGACAATTAAAACTATGTCCTTTGTAGAGATGTGTCTGGTAGTGTCCTCTGTTTATGGCTATTTTAGGTTATCAAAAAATATTCACTAATTTTTTTTAACAGCATGTAGTTGCAGTTACAAATATTTGTATCTACTAATATTTAAATGGTATTTTTGAGTACAGTAAGTCAGAACTAAAGGAAAACAGGAAGCCAATTTCACACAGATCAACAACCACAATTAAATGACTCATTGAGCATGAATCCTTTCAAATTAGATGACTAACTTCATCAAATAAAAACCCTTCAACTAGGTCATTTTATTTATTATTTTTGTGTGTATTTTTACGTGTGTAGCCATTTTTACAATGATTTTACATTTTACAACTTAGGACCCTATGTAGGAACAGGATCATAACAACTGATGAACTCCAAGGTTTCCTTTCGAATCTGCATGGTCAGGCCTACATCTACGGCCTCCCTAAGGTACATAAGTTAAAATCCCCCTTAGACCAATAGTAGCTTTTCACCTCTCCCCCACAGCCCCGCTAGCTCAGTACTTAGCTAAGATAATCATACCCATACTTAAAGAGGGCGCCGCCTCGACGTCCATCTCTTCCACACCTAAATTCTTAGACCATATACAGCAATTACCGGTAGTCCCCAACAGTCTTATGATCTCTTTTGATGTCATCAATCTATACCCCAGTCTCCCCCACTCCCTCATCTTAGAATGCACCAAAGAATTCCTCCGGACGCATGGGTATACAGCAGATTTGATATCTAAGTTTTCCACCTTAATTTCGATCTGTCTAAGCAACAGTATTTTCAATTTTGATAAATGTTACTATAGGCAAACCAAGGGTACTCCCATGGGTAGCCCTCTGTCCTCACCACTCTCCGAAATAGTTATGCGAAAAATTGACAGTTTAATTACAAGTCACTTCCCAGCAGATATTCATACCTGGTTTAGATACATAGACGACATTTTTTGCATAATTAATATAGAATCCTTGGACAGTATTCATACTAAATTAAATTCACTATTTCCGGACATCCAATTCACATTCGAAAAAGAAAACAATCGTTCCTTGGCATTCTTGGATATCATGATCACAAAACAAAATAGCAGGTATATTACCAACGTATACTATAAGCCCTCCTTTCATCCCTCCTATATACACTATACCTCATACTGCCCCCTTAGCCATAAAATTAATACGGTCAAAACCCTCTCAAAACGTATTTTTACTCACTGTTCAACGTCTGAATTCAAACATACAGAGACCCAGATCGTGGTCAATCACCTAATGAACTCAGGCTACCCCAGAAACTTCATTCTCCGACACTTTTACAATCCACAACAACAGCTAAGCAGTCAGACTTATAGAGCGACTTGCATCATCCCTTACTCTGCCCACAGTGTTAACATAGCTAGATACTTAAAAAACAAACACGGAATACGTACCTTCTATACCAACACTCCTAAATTAGAAACAATAGTTAGAAACCCCATCACCAGAAATAGTTTTCCCATTACCCTGCCATACTTTACAAACTCCATATATTCCTTAAAATGTTCAGATTGCAATAGTTTGTATATAGGAGAAACAGGCCGTAGAATCAAAGATAGGATGGATGAACACCATAGAAACATCAGAAACAATGAACCTAGATCCCTTATAGTACAACACATTAGACAGACAGCACATTCTTTCGATACCTCTCAACCACAGGCATATTATTCAGGAATCACGAACAAATACAGAAGGTTGGTCGTCGAGGCGTTGCTCTCTTTAAGACATAACAGTATTAACAGACACATAGACATTCCTGATATATACAATGCAATATTGCCATAGTGTACCTTAGGTGACCATTGCCAGAGAATTTTATTTTGGATCGTTTTACTATTGCAGCCCTAAATTGAACCGTATCCTTTTTGTACAACTATTTTTGATTTTACTTCTTAGCATACTCAGAACACGCAGATTTTTCTTATTTTTACTTTTTCACCAATTTTGTTAATATGTTTATAGTTTTCTTGTATATATGCTAATTTTCTCAATATGGATATGTATATAAGATGTAGTTTTACTCAGATATGATGTCCTGTAGAAGGGTTAATAACCCGAAAGCTCGCCCATATTAAAACCTTTAAGAAACACATCCTCGCATATCTTAAATTCTTATACTTAACCCTTAACTGGACGGGTGGATTTTTCTTACGTAACTGGACGGGTTGGGTAGATTCAACCCACATATGTAACTTTATGAAATAAGCACTAAATAATGATTGAAATAAATATTTAAAAAATTATTTAATTAATATATAGTTAATATACAGATTTTGACATTTAAAAATTCTGAATATAATCTATTTACAGTTTTCAAAAATTATAAAGAAAAGTTATTGCAAACGCTTAGTTGACATACAGAGCAAAGGGTTTTTATTTTTTACTGCGCTTTTTGATGGACATTTGTAGCACCTTTTTGGAGTATCAGATTGTTGTGGTATCGTAGATTCACTTGGTTTACTTGAACCATCATTCTTCTTGAATTGTCGCCTGTAATTGCAGTGGGAGAGAATTGAGATTACGTGTGGCCAGGTGTTCATCAGTCAATGCTCTCCCAGGATCAACAATAAAATGACTCCTTTCTTTTTTACCTTTTTTTATCAATCTGATTACCGATTTTCTTTTTTCTTTTTTTTTTGGAACATAGGAGACTAAAGTGGTTGTTCCAGAGAAACCAAAAATAGAGGTTCCTGATTCTCTATTAGGATGCGGTTGAAATTGTGGTGAATCTAAGGTTTGTTCTTTCTCATTGTTCCTAAATATATAAGGCCATGTTCTTTCAACTTATCAACTAATTCTACTGAAGTAAATCAATTGTCTGCTGGAATATTTCTTCCAAAGTGTAGTCGACTAATCTCTAAAACATATATATTTTGGGTTGGCAGGGATAGTTCCCTCTGTTGACTTGATTGATTATTCTACTTATCGGAAGAAAAAGGTGTTATTTTATAAAAAGGAAGCTAAAAATAGCGGAAGATAGAGACTCAAGTATGAGCCACGAGCTAACACTGACACGAAAAATTTTCACGCTTCTGGACGGGCTGGGCGGAATCCGCCCACACATGAAAATTTAACCCCCCTCCCAAAATTGAAATTTATAAACGATGGATGGAAAATGTTTGTATCACTGTAAAATTAGAATACATGAAAGCTGGTAGCTCTAGGTAAACGAAAAATATATTTTTTCCTATATTAAATTTATGCATGGGCAGAATCTACCCAACCCGTTCAGTTAAGGGTTAATTATAATATTTTTATATTTAATGATCATAAATGTATGTGTTAAGTTAGTGTGTGTATATGTCTTATTATAACATTGATATAAACTATTATTTAAAATAATAATTTAATTTTGAAAATTTCGTTTGTTCATACAGAATAAGAGATTTAGGATGAATTCTAAAATAAAATACCAATGATGTTTAATACATAAGTCGTTAGAAGTTCCATCTAACGACAATTATTTAAAGCGTTTTAATCAACATGCGAGGCAGGGAATATTTGGTAAATTTCTCTAACACAACTACCTTTCAATTTTCTTACTATTCAAATATCTAATATGCTTCAACAAATTTATTCGTATGTTAATGAAAAAGAGGTATTTAGTTCAATTATCAAAACTATTATTATTATATACAATGTAGAAAGTACCTTTTATTAACTTTGAAAACGTAAAATATGTTTAAAGTATGTTTAAAAATAATATAGGAATAAAGGAATAATTGGTAGTATGCACACGTGTTTGAAAATATGTAAATATAAAAAGATAGAATAATTGATATAGGAGTGTAGAGGGCCCTTTAGTACGTGTCAGAATGGCCGAGTGGTCTAAGGCGCCAGACTTAAGATCTGGTCCTCTTGTGAGGGCGTGGGTTCGAACCCCACTTCTGACATTTTTTTTTTTACTGTGTTGTTTATTTTATATTTATTTTAAAACTTTCTTTTTAAAGAGTGTGCTATTGATTTGCTCTTCCATTTTTGAATATATATATATACGTTTTTCGCAACAAGAATGTTCAACATTCGAAATATATTTTTAAATACTTACTCGTTTGATATATAAAGAGGAAATAGAATTGAATTAGAGGCCTAAAAGGTAGGATGTGTGAGAAAATATTTTTAAAAGCACTTCTAAAACGTGTTTTAGATACAACACTTAACATTTTAGATGTTTTTATTATTGAAAATATTTTTTAAATGTATTGAAAGATTTTTTTTTCATATATTTTATAACATTATGTTATTTAATTCATGTTGAGTTAAATAAAAATATTTTAAATCCCTTTATATATACACATTTTGAAAAACGAATTATCAGGGTAATAAAAAAGGGTAAATAGTTTCTCCTTTTGATGGTAGATGGCAGAATGATCAGGTTATCTGAAAATATGTGTATAGGCGTATAAAATGTTTCTTTATTATTATTATTATTTTTTTAATAAATAGTAATTTTGTCAATCTATGAATATTTTCATTGCATATATCAACATAATTCCTAGATATATAGAGAGAGAGCACCCAATCTTGTTTCTAGAGTATTCTTAAAAAAAAAATAATAATAATAAAATAGTTAATTATAATAATTAATATAAAAACATATCTAAATTAAAAATATGATGTGAGATAGAAAATAAATTTTATAGAAAAATTAAAATATTCATGATTTAAATTAGAAAAAAATATTAGTTTTACCAAACATCTTTAATTCCCTTCTAAAATCAGCGCGTCCATTTTGGCCAGTGGCTCAATAGTAGCGAGGCTGACTCCAGATCAGAAGGCTGCGTGTTCGAATCACGCCCGTCACATTTTTTCTTAAATCTTGAACAAATCAAATAAATAATATATTTTTAATTGACGCCTTTTGAATATTTATTCTATTTTAAAATAGAATTTAAAGATAAAAATGAACATTTTAAGGAATTTTTATATATACACTTCTTTTTTTATCTTGCAAAAAAAAAAAAAAATCTTCGATAATAAAATGGCATATATTGGATTGTAAAATACTATTTGTTTGCCAATATTTCGGTTGGCTAAACGACAACCTTTGTCAATATATTTATAACCCAGTTTCCTGGAAATTTTGCCAAGGTATAACAACATTGTGGAATAATGGCGTCCAGACGGCTCGGGTGACAGTAAACAAACATGCCCGGCGGCGCCAGCCGCCGACAAAGGACTAGAACACGGCTTGGTCTGCTACCCACCAGTCGGGTGTTTTCCTCTGTCCTCTTAAGATGTATTAAATAAAGTTAGTTAGAAGGAGATTTTTACCCCCTCCTTTCTGCTATTTAGTGATCTTATTCAAATCCTTGCAACAGCCCACAAAGAATCATCACAGCGAATTCTTCTACCGAATTTCGCTTCAGTGTTTGTGAAACTATTACCCTACATTTCTACACAAAGTGGCGTCCCCGCGGGTGGGCTTCTGACAAGGCAAGATCAAGTGGATTAACGGCGGAATACAAGTCAAGACTCAAGATAAATACCTTTTGTTTTACCTTCTGTTTATAGAGTTTTTTGAAAAATGGAAATTTTAAAAAAGCATAGAAATTTACTTAGAAAGCGACTAACTCGCATCTTGAAGACGACAGAAGAGTTTCTGTCAAGTACTCCACCGATACCTGTAGAGGACATTGAATATAATAGAGAGATCATTGAAGAAACTCACAGTGAGCTTCTTGTGATCCAAAGCAAGATAAGAGACTTCATGCTAACTTCAGACGTTAGCGAAGAGGAACTAGAGCAAGACGATGAGGAAGCCTTGCAATATACCCAGAGATATAAGAGAATATATAAAAAATGTTTCGCTCTTGTTGAACCCAGGATCACTGCATCCAGTCCCACGATTAGTGAAGTGAGCTTCGCTTCTAGCTCACACCATAGAACTGTAAAACTACCCAAGATAGAATTAAAGAAGTTTACAGGAGAAATAAAAGATTGGTTGGGATGGTGGGCACAGTTCAACAAGATTCATGTCGATCCCACTTTAGAAGACAGCGACAAGTTTCAATATCTTGTGCAATCTATGTCGCCGGGAACCAGAGCTAGTAAACTGGTTGATAGTTACCCCCTGACTGCCGAAAATTACCCCAAAGTTATAGAAACTTTGACAGAAAGATTTGGAAGGCCTGAACTGTTGCAACAAGTCTATGTCAGGGACCTTATCCGCCTTATGATCGATTGCTCCTCCAAACAACAGTTGAAGGTGACTTCATTTTATGATGAGTTGGTGACTCATTTGAGAGCATTGGAATCCTTAAAGATTGAGGCCAGACAGATGTCTGTATTTATATTTCCAATGATTGAGGCATGTCTCTCAGAGGAACTCATGAAGGCTTGGCAAAAAAGCCCCCTCCATGATGTCAAGATGATGCTAATGATTCGACTCAAACTAGAGTTGACCTAATTATGGAGTTTCTCCAAAAGGAAGCTGCAGCAGAACAAGACAGAGCCTTAGCTGGATCCAAGTTTGGACTTAGATCTTTGAAACAAGATAGAAACGTGGGCAGACAATCACATCCTGCTAAGATACCTACGGCCTCTGGACTCTTTGCTGGACGTGCCCAGAATTGCATCTTTTGTAATAAAGATCATAAAAACACAGAATGTCTTGCTGCGCGCAGAATGAGCATTAAAGAAAGAAGAGAGCGTATTAAAAACGCTAAATGTTGTTTCTCCTGCCTCCTACCAGGTCATATCTCTTCTAATTGTAGAAGGCGCATAACTGAATGTATTCGATGTAAGAAGAAGCACCTTGATATTTTATGCCCTCTTAATGCTCCTGGACGAGAGTCAGCGGATGAAGACAAGGAACAGATGGAAGACTGTGACGTTTCTCCTACAGTTGAAAATGGAGTTTCATTCTCCGGTCTTAGAGCTTCGTCTCTGATTTTGCTACAGACTCTGAAGATTAAGGTCGAAGGTGCGACTTCGGCGAAAGTAGTGCGTGCCCTCCTTGACACAGGTTCCCAACGATCCTATATTTTGTCTAAAACTGCCCAGGATCTCGGACTATCTCCCATTGGCCAGGAATCACTTAAACATGTGGTGTTTGGAGGTCATACTAGTGAAAGTGTCCACCAAGAATACAGAGTCAATTTGGGTCATGCATCGGGGAATTTTAAGATGGTAGCGAAGCTTCTTGACCAACAAAAAATCTGTGGTAACCTACCAAGATTGAGCCGCGGGCCATGGTTGAAAGAACTCAAAGCCCGCAGAATCTGGGTTCCTGATATTGGAAAGGATGACATGGAAATTGAAATACTTCTAGGATGCGATGTGTTGGGATCTATTTTCATGATGAAATCTTGTGTGTTGTCAAATGGCTTGACTGCGTCGCAGACACGTTTCGGATGGACTTTAATGGGAGAATGTCAGCCAGGTAGTGACGTTTCACTCGCTCATCATGTTACAACGATGACAATTTCGGAGAGCAGTATAACCAATCTGTGGAATCTCGATGTTATTGGCATTATGGATCCTATTGAGGTTAAACAGAGAGATCAGAGAGACGCACTGGCGCGTCGACATTTTCTAAAACCAGTCCAAGGTTCTGTTTCTGGAAGATATGTTGTTTCCCTCCCGTGGACTGTAGAGAAAGCTAAAATCGCGGACAACAGGGAGATTGCTACGAAGAGATTAGAACAGTCGACTAAGAAATTAATCTCTTTGAATCTTTATGAGGACTATGATGATATTTTCCGAGGCTGGTTGGATGATGGGATAATTGAGAAAGTCCCAGCTGAACAACACGACGCTGAGGCCTTCTACCTGCCTCATCGTCCGGTGGTGAAACTCTCCAGTGGGACTACGCCAATCAGGCCTGTCTTTGATGCTTCTAGCAAGGTCTATAGATCCCCATCTTTAAATGACTGTCTTGAAAAGGGACCTAACCTCATAGAGATGATTCCCAGCCTTATGTTAAGGTTTAGAAATGGCAAGTTTGGTGTCGTGGCAGACATTAAGAAAGCGTTTCTTCAGATTGAGGTGAATGAAAGGGACAGAGATTACCTGCGTTTTCTGTGGTATTCCCAAAATGGAGAAAAGACAGAAGTATTCCGACATAGACGTGTCGTTTTCGGTGTTAACTGTAGTCCTTTCATTTTGGGGGCAGTAATAGAATACCACCTGTCTAATGTTCGACCTGAACATAAACCGTTAGCTCAGAGGTTGCAGAAATCCTTTTATGTGGACAATTTAGTCACAAGCGTGAACTCTTTTGAAGAGTTACAAGATCTCAAATTGACCGCAACGTCCATCATGGATAATGCTCGGATTGAGCTAAGCCGTTGGGAGCATAGCCTGGACGTGGCCTCCGATACTTACCCCTTTGAAAGAGCAGAGATATCTAAAGTGCTTGGTGTATATTGGGATAAAAGGGAAGATTGTTTGTCATGTGAAATTCCCGTAGCCATACCCCCCAAGATAACCAAAAGGAGTATCCTGTCCTGCTTAGCTCAGATATATGACCCTATTGGATTTCTGAACCCATTATTAATAAAGCCTAAAATTATATTGCAAAAGGTTTGGATAAAGCGCGATAACCAGTTGGGTACCTTTGTCGGGAATCGCGTGAAAGAGATATGCAGACTTAGTGATCCTGGAGATTGGAGATATGTTCCTAGCAAGTGCAATCCAGCTGATTTACCCTCCAGAGGATGCAGCCTCTCCCGACTGATACAGTCTACATGGTGGGAGGGCCCTTCCTGGTTAAAACTCTCCGAAGAATTTTGGCCTTCCAGGTATAAAGACCTGAATGAAGAAGAAATCTGTGTGAAAAGAATGCTCGGAACATCAACATTAACATATCACCAATTGATGACCCTGCTGTGTCATACAGAGGCAGTGATGAATGAAAGGTCCATGACTTATGTCAGCGACGATCCGAATGATCTTGTATCAATATCACATGTATGACACATGTAAAGAACTAAAGCTGTACTGGCTAGCAAAAAAAAAGTGTTAAATGGGGCATCTCTCTCTCTCTCTCTCTCTCTCTCTCTCTCTCTCTCTCTCTCTCTCTCTCTCCAGCTTACTGCCCCAGTGTTGCTGAACTCACCTCCCAAAGCTATCATCACCCTTTTCTCATTCTATGAATAAAAAAATATTTTAAAAAAATTATATGAAAATTCATAATATATATATGTCATAATTTGTACATACTGGATGCAAACCCGACCCAATATGTATGCAATGTATGTTTTAAAAGATTTAATAAAAACAAGGCTTAAAGAAATCTGGGAGAGAAGGCCTACAAGAGGACAATCATTAGCAGGGTTTATTATCCCGGAACTCATAAAAACTGAGTTCAAGAACCTATCACTTCCTGGTCAGGTTAAAACAAGTCCAAAGGACAAAGAATTAGCAAAGACCAATCAGAAAGCAGCTCATTTAGCCTCGAGCCTATAGCGAACTTACACGTCACGAACGGTCAGCCAATGAAAAAGAAGAAGAGCTTTCGTCTTAAATCGGGAACGAGATATAGGCAGTTGGGAGCTGGACAGCACGGAGTTAGGAGCTCGGCACCATCGCAACCAGTTAGCCATAGGAATCAGCTTGGAGCAAAAACCCATCTCCCCTCCTCAGATAAGTTAATTCTCAATCATGCAATAGAAGTATAGTCAACTTCGCTCAATTCCTCAACTCTTTCTCTCCCTAGATTACTCGCCTTTTTCAACCCAACCAACCCTGCGTTTTCTCGTTATTTTCCCTTGTATGCAGAACTTTCCACTCAAACGACTGCGCTCAAATCAATCTCATCAATTATCAACCAACATCCAAAGATTTCGCAACGATAATAC